AAAAACATAAACTGTGTTTTCTCCTCAGTGTTTCTGTAGAACTAAATTCTTGAAAGTTTCTGTTGTTTATAAATGAAAAATATTAAGAAAAAAAACAGAAAAAATAACCTTAAGAGCCAGAAGAGAAGAATAATGGGCTTGGGATATAGCTTCATGCTATAAGCACCTGTCTGGCCAGCGCAAGTTCGATCCCCAGTTCTGCATGCTGTGCCACCCTAGAACTGGGCATGGTGACACAAGCCTGTAATTCCAGCACGAAGGAGGCTGAGACAGGAATGAGACCCTGTGTCAAAAAGTAAATAAATAAAAATTTAAAAGAATAATAACCAAAGAGTTTAATAGTAAATACTAGATGTAAGATCAAGATTAAATCATAAAAATCTGATGATGTGAGGATTATGTGTAAAGAAATGCAATGCAAACAAGGAGAAAGTTAAAATGCAATGGCAGAAAGTAAAAATTTGATGAAACAAAATTGGATCATGAAAATAACACAATATTTTGGAAGAAAAATTTATGTAAATACTAGAGAGAATATTTTTACATTTAGGCAAAAATGAAGTCAGCAATGACCACATTTATCTACCAATATAAACACACTCTGGAAAGCAATATGAAAATGTTTTCACATACTGCCAACAGCATAAGATTATTTCTGCTGAAAAGGAGAGAGGAAAGTAATTTATACCTACAATTGCTGTCCATTACCAGCAAGAGATGGTTTCCAGGCTATATAGCATGGAAAGAAGTCCCCTGCATAAGTCCAGTAGCCAGATTGAATAATTTATAGAACAAATCTTCAGAAAATTTGTATTTATAAAGCACTGAAACACTATCAACCCCTTTGATCTAACTTAGATTTAAATGACAATCCATGCATTATATTAGAGCATAAACAATCAGTGCCTTCTTCTTTATTCTGAATATAAAATAAATCTCAATGAATTAAGACATATTAAGATCCATAACAGAAAGATGTCTGAAGAAAACAAAATACACAGAGGAAACATGACTCAGAAAGAATGCAAAATATGAAAATAAATAAGGTATGTATGAGGACAAAAACCTGTGAAGTTACAAACAACAGTGCAAAAATATCAAAGACACCTGCAGTTGATGATGCTTTGAACTGATCAACAAAATGATTATTAGTTAGAAAATGACAGAGAAAAAGAAAATTAAGAAACCAAATGATCAGGAATGAACAATTAGATGCTACAGTTCTATAGACGCTAAAAGAAAAACAAGGAAAAATATAAACAACTCAATATATTGCCAACAATCTCAATAACATATATATAAAGTTGAAACAACATTAAAGATAGGAACTACCCACTTTTACTACAAAAGAAATAGACGATTCTATTGGCTTCATCTTAGGGATACCAAATTCACAGTTTTAAAATTTCATGATAAAAGTTATCGATTCAAATGTTATCACTGCTGAATTGTGCAGAGCATTTAATGGCTAATATTCATGATACACCCATTCTACCAGAAAATAAAAAAGAAGAAATGTTTTCTGAACAATTTTATATGGTCAGCATTATATTGATCCCAAGTTAGACAAAGATGTTTGATATTAAAGAAATAAAGAACTTTATATCAAAGCTTTTTTCTCATTATAGAAAGGGAAATTTTGTCAGTAAATCAAATCTAGTAAATTATAAAACTAATATCTTCTTGTATGCATGTAGGCTTATCCTAGAAAAGAAAGATTTGTTTAATATTTGAAAATTAATCAGTATGGTGACACATTAAAAGGCTAAAAATTTGAAATTATTTGACCATCAGAGGAAATGCAAAAAACATTTCACAAGACTTAACATCCTTTTAAGGTACAGACTAAAAATAGAACTTCATTAATCTGTTAAAGACAATATGCTAAGACCTTATAGCTAGTAACATTTAAAAGTGAAACACTAAATGATTCTGGTAGAGAGAAGAGTTTCTACCACTATCTTCTGGAGCTCACATGTTACCAATTCTCTTCAAAATCATAGAAAATTTCCTCATCCATTCAATAGAACAAAAGAATGAAATTGTAAAGGTAGAAGTATGGTTATCTTTGTTAGTATATAACATAATTATCCATACTGAAAAATCCTAAGATATTTACAAAAGAGGGTATTATAATATTATAGTTTTAGAAGGCAGCAGTATAAAGCGAACACATAGAAATCAACTGAACGTGTTAGCTTTGCATTGCTATAACAAAACGCCTGAGAATAATAAGTAAAAGGAAGAAAGGTTTATTTGGGCTATGGTTTCAGTCCATGGTCTGCTAATCCAAGGAAGAAATATCATGGTGGAAGGGTACTGCAAAGGAAAGCAACTCCCTTTGAGGCAGCCAGTGAGCTGGCAGAAAGAGAAAGAGCCCCATGATAGAATTGCCTCTAAAGGCCCCACCTCTGAGCACATGAGAGTTTTGGAATGCTTTAGAGCTAAACCACAACACTAATTTTCTACAAAAAAAAAACCAAGGGAAAATTAGATTTTACAAAACATAACATTTAAAATTTGCAAAAATAGGGCCCAGGATATAGTTCAGAGACACAGGGGCTTGCCTGGCAAGCAGAAGGTACTGAGTTCAATTTCTAGTGCCAAATTAATTAATTAATTAAATTCTTAAGATTAAATATAGCCAAATATATACAACATCTGTATACCAAAAGCTATGAAATAGTTCTAAGAGAAATTAAGATCAGTTCACATAGAAACTTATTCATGTATCAGAAAACTCATTTCTCTCATGATACTGATTTCCCTGAACTTTATTATTCAAATCAATCCTAGGAAATCCTAGGACTAAAATCCTAGGAAAATATTTGTAGTAACTATCATACTTACTCTAAAATTCATATTGTAGGACAAAATTAGAACTAGAACTAAAATTGTATTTAAAAATAATAAATTAAAAAGACATGCACTGCCTAATCTTCAAGACTTACTACATAGATGCAGTAGCACAGTGTGTTACTACCATGAAGATAAATATATAAATCAATAGAAAAGACCGAAATAGATGTACATGGGGACGGTCAATTGCTGTTTGACAAGCTTTGAATTAAATAATACCCTTTTCAGTTTTTCATTTATGAATCCCAGATAATTTACGTCATAGTAAGCACAAAAATAAGGTGAAAAAATATACAAATCGCCTGAGAAAGGCTTTGGAATGTTAATAAGGCACCCCAGGGCCTCGGGATCCAGTCGGGAGCATAAAAGTAAACCCCAATACAAGTAAACTTGAGAAAAGTGGCATTTCTCTGATGGTAGCTAAGGCAGTAATGACAGAAGAGGTAGCAAAAAAAAAGACAAATTTGAGTTTAACTTTTGACTAGTTTGCAATTCTAGGAGAATAAAATTGTATCTAGGCACTTATAAAATGAGAGGCCTTAGAAACTGTTGAGGCCACTTACAAGTTGGAACTCTGAAAGTCAGGGTAAATAACCAACAGTTTGCCCTCACAGAGAATAAATCTGCTTTGAGTCCTCTTCTAGATTGGCTTGGATTGGGTTGGGTTGGATTGGATTGGACTGTATTGGATTAAATTGGATTGAATCAGATTGATTATTAACTCTTCATGTATCATTTTTCCAACTGCTGGCCAGACGCAAAACATATCCCCTTGAAAGAAAAACCATATTTTCTCTAGCCTCAAATTGTCTCTAGAAAGATTTTTAAAGAATGCCTTGGATGCAATAAAAAATGACCAGAAACAGAAAACAAGACCCGTGATTAGAAAACAGTGAATAACAGAGGCATAGGTGATACAGGAAGGAAGTTATCAGACAATAACGTTAAAATAACTGTACATGACATGCTCAAAGAAATAAGAGAAGACAGTAAATACAAGGTAAGATAAGGCTCCGCCTGGCTTTGAGGACAAGTCACATACTTTCACGAGGCATTCAAAAGGACAGAGCAGCCACAGCAAAGGCGGGAAAATATTGGATTTCAGTAAACAGAAGTACAATTTGGGAATATGGCTGAATTCAATTTCTATCTAGACAAAGTATTAATTTTATTTTTGACCAAGTAATGTTTTACATTATTCCACAGCCAGCAGTTTTCATCAAAAGAGTGCCTTGATCAAAAAAGATGCTAACAGTAGCAGTCCTCCTTTGACTCACTTCAGGAATGAGATGATGCCCAAACTGAGGTGGAATGGCACGTGGGGTTCAGAATGGAATTTTACATTAAGCATTAGAATTATTTTCTCTCTCTCTCTCTCTCTCTCTCTCTCTCTCTCTCTCTCTCTCTCTCTCTCTCTCTCTTGTTTTTTGAGACAGAGTCTGGCTATGCAGTTCAGGATGGCCTTGAGCTTGCTTTGTAGCCAAGCCTGGTCTTGAACTCATAACAATCTTCCTGCCTCAGCCTCTGAGTGCTGGGATTACAGGCATGCCCTGCCATGCCTGGCTCAACTTTATAATTCTTCACTTGTGTAGAGTGATAGAAATAGCTGAGAGATGTTAGTATTAAGGCAACAGAATTGGGAGAGATCCAGTTTTAAATATTTTTTCCCCATGGCAAATTCTCAAAGATATTTTGTTACAAACTATATATTTATTTTTTTTTTAATGAAAATTGGTGGTACTTAAAAATCTATATCCACCCTTTGGTGATTTAACTTATATTTCTTTAGTTTTTTAATATTTAAATTTTGCTTCATCCTACTTTTTGCTTATACTTCAGATCCTCATGAGCCTACTTCATTTGGTAGATATACATGAAAAAAATTTTTTCCTATCCTGCTTTGCTCAGAGTAAAATGCTCAAGAATATCGTGTAGCATTTATTCAATAAAGTCATTGATTGAAAATAAACAAAAAGATGTATTAAAGATGAATATGGAAATGATTGACAAAATGGACCAGAGGAAACAGGAGTTTTTTGTTAGTGCTTCGAATTCACTGGGGAACAGAACAGTTCAATGACCTTACGCTTATTGATATTTTGCACGCATTATCCCAAGTCATCCTAACAGTCTTATTTTTTTAGGGGAAAGCGCGAACATAGTCTCCCACTGCCACAAATTATGCACGCGAGTTTTCTGTATTTGTACAAATCACAGGAATCCACATGTTGAGTGCAGTGACTTTGCCTCACCCAGGGAACACCATCTTCATGATCCTGGGATTTCCCTACCAGGTAAGTACCAATTCCAACAATCTTATGAGCTGCCTTGTATTCACATTTCACAGAAGAGTAAGCTGAAGTCCAGAAATGTTATGTAATTTCCTGGAGACACATCATTGATATTTCCATAAATGTGGATTTGACTGGTAGGTAGTTAAGGATTCGATTTCCTTAACACTACATCATACCACCAAAAGTAGTGGCGATGAGAATGCAAAGGAGGGTTCATAACAAGCAAAAATTTCTGAGGTTAGTACACAGAAAATGGTTATTAATGATGAGGAAGGACAAAAAGAAAGTCACTTTAAAAGGTGCCACAGTACTTGACTGAAAAATCTTTCAAAGACAGAACTGTTGTTTTAAATCCAAACTTGGAAGTGACTTGTTACCAGTACTTGACTGTGGTTTGGCTATTCTGCGAATGACTAAGAATTTCTCTAGAGATTGGGTTCAGGTGAATCAGCATATGCTTCTTATTTGTATTCATAGGAACAAATAATCCTTTGTAATAAAATCAGTTCCCAATGGGTTGGCTTTCATTCGATATTTTAATTAGTCTCTGAATAGTGAAATGTGTGATAAAGGCTAAACCTCTCATCTCCTTTGAATTTTAGGGGATCAGATTAAATAGAAAGAACATAACGTTTCCTCCTAGGACTGAGTTTATTCTCCAATAGCTCACAGCCCACACACTAGTAGATCTCAGATTTTGCAGTCACACAGGAGAAGAGTGAAAGAATAAGAGGATTAGGGGGAAGTTGTGTGGCATTACTTCTCTCCTGGGGTTTGGAAGATTAAGAGAAAGTAGAAGTAAACAGAGGCGTGTAGGAACTACATCAGTTATTTATCATTAAGCCCTCTTCCCTAGCTGTCTTCTTCTTTTCTAAATCAGGTAACACTGTACCTTACTTAAGAAAATAAAATAATAAAAGACCCAGCCAGCACTCTGACAACATTCATCCCTTCTCTGTCCAGTTTTCTGTAGATGGGCACATATGCCTGTGTGATACACACACACACACACACACACACACACACACACACACGCATGTTATTGATAATGTGGTCTCTTCTAAAAGCCCACCAGTAGGCATGAAAGTAAAAATTAGAAAGCTCTTTTCCTGATAGTACTATAGATTGGACCTAAGCCCTTTTGCTCTGAGGTACAACCCAAACTATTTTATTTTATTTACTTTATTTTGTCTTGGATTAAGGTCCTGCTAAGTGACTCTTGGCTAAAACTCAAGATCCTCTTGCCTCAACTTCCCAGAATACTTAAGATTACAGATGTGTTTTCCACCATGCACAATATCAATAAGATTTTTTTCTAAAGTATTGATGCATTGGAAACAATTCTATTTTCATTACTTTATTAATACACTTTGG